GGTTATTCACCGACTTCTGACATGTCATTCAGCAGAGTGGCGAGTGTTGTAAGGTACTATTTAAAGGTAGCCACTACCTGTCAGTATCACTTACTCAATCTGCTACTGATATCCTGACATAATCATTTGACAATTATTACAATTTCCTTTACACACTCAACCGTATGGACCCGACAAGGTCCGGGCTAGAATGAACCTTCAGTAACCCATGCTTGTCGTAAGAGGCGACTAACGGGATCGGGTGGTCAGGCTCGCTGGCTTGGTTGACACATGACATCGTATCCCAATTGCTTGGAACGATGCTCATGCTGTTGATCACTGGATTTTCTGGTCCAGACTCGATTATTTAAAGACCGCCGCCATATAGCTGGAATATGGCTGAGTGCGGCGTAAAACTCAACTCACTCACTCAACCGTATGAAGCAATCGTACCTTAGTGTATTTGATTAAATTAAATGCCCTCATACCGTCTCCGTGGTGTAGTGGTTAGAGGGTCCGCCCAGAGAGCGGAGGTCGCGGGTTGCGTCACGTCATACCAAAAGACGTTAAAATATGGTACTTGTTGGTCCCTGCCTGGCGCTCGGCATTAATGGGTACAACAAACACTGGTTGGCTCGGAGTCAGTATAATGAGTATGAGTGGGGTATTCATGCTTAACTGCAGCATGGTATCTCAGTGAGCTAGCACTATAAAACCAGCTTCAGTCTGGGCTAGTACAAGCAGCCACACATACACAGGCATGCACGTCGTCATATGAGCGAAATATTCTCAAGTACGACGTAAAACCCCATTTCACCTCACCTCATACGAAAGTACAAAGTACATTTTTTACAATATGTTGTAGAAGTAGACAGTCACTCCTAAAGTAGGTTTTGTTCATAAAATGGCTAGAACTTTTCTCATAAAAGGGTAATACGGTCATAAAATGGCGAGAATTTTTCTCATAAAACGGTAAAACATTTAAACACCTTGTAAATGTTTATCTTGTCAGGTGCTTCAGTCGAGTTCCCTTCCGTCAAAACCTGGCATAAAACCTGGCATCGGTTTTTAGCTGTCGGTACGGTGCGGAAGTTACATCATTGTTGTCCTCCCATCAGAGTTAATGGTAAGGAGATGAAGTAAATAAATTCATTTCAGTTTATTTGGCAGCTCATTGATTGGAGCTCTCGTAAAATATATCTAGACTGACTAAGTTATTGAAAGCTCCTTCCAAGCACTCTGCGAGTGAGTGAGTTAAGATGTTTAGTCACATCAGCAGTATTTCAGTCATATCGCGATTAAAACAAGACGTACATTGATAAGAATAACGTTTCAAAATGATGTCGGCAAAGGAACTAAACTAGTGCTCAAAAAGAAAGTATACATTGTGTTTGACGAAACTTGAAAGGAAAAGAAAAGCATATATGAATGAACATCTGTTTAATTTCAATAGAGTATTCAATTCTACAGCAAATTTACATCATTTCATTTCATACAAAGTCGAAAGTAGCAGTTTTTCTGCAAAGTGCCATTAAATGTGGAATCAATATTCCTGTAGGAGACACTGTTCCAGTTGTTGAGGGTGATAGATAAGCGCTGGTAGTCTTCTGATTTGTCGATCCAGGTAGTACCATAAGTATACTGTCGGATTCATGTCGTGAGAACATGCTGGCCACGTCCAAACAACGATGTAAGCGTTATGCAGAAGGTCGTTTGTCAGTCTTGCTGTATGACGCCTTGCATTACCGTGTTGGTATGCAGTGTCACGCGGCTGGATAAATAGCAACATAACTGGTCACAAAACTTGTATCTTCGAGCATTCAGGTTGCCATGAATAATCAACAAGTCTCGTTCTGAGATGGCCGCAGAACCCATCCCACACCATCACGCTATCGGTTCCAAACAGTATGACTTGCTGTACGTAATTCGGCGCTAAACGTGCATCTACACGTCTGTAAACACGAGTCCGGCCGTCATTACTGTACAGACAAAACTCGTACAAAACTCGTACAAAACATCACAAGTCGCAAATCACGCAGCTGCCAACGTCGAACTCGCCTGGCCCATGCCAATCAACGACGTCGGTTTTGAAGAGTCAGACGCCCTCATCGGTTCTCGTAGTCGCCGGTACACTGTATGTTCGTTGATACGGTGTCCTAGTGCCGTCGCTGCCGTTGACGTCGCCGTTACAAAACGATGTCTCACATGAATTGTCCGGATGTGGCGATCATCACCGGGCGTTGTCACACGTGGTCAACTCCAAGGCCTGTCTGACGTATTGCCAGTTTGTCTTAGTCGTTGCATAAGTCTGATGACAGTTGCTCGGGTGCAGCCGAAGGTTCTGGCAATGACGGTGTGGTTAGCTCCTTGCTGGGCCATTCCGACAGCACTCTCACTTTCGATTTGCCTCAAACGTGGCATAATTTTGTGTTCTTTATACTACTGTGTTGCTCACGTGTCGCGTATACCGTGAGTTTGCATGTTACATTCAGAAAAAGTGGTATTTGATTTTTTGCGATGTTTAGGCAATTCGTTAACTTGTTTCGCCGTTTGTCACATGTCGCGTAGGCTGGTTTATACCGTTAGTATGCATTTCGTGTTACATCAGGAAAAGTCGTATTGGATTTTTTGCGACGTTTATGCGATTCGCCGTTTGTTTCCGGAAAGGTGAGGTGAGGTGAGGTGAAATTGGGTTTACGTCGTGCTTGAGAATATTTCGCTCATATGACGACGTGCATGCGTGCGTATGTGCATGTGCGGCTGCTTGTACCAGCCCAGACGAAAGCTGGAGATACCATTCCGCAGTGAAGCATGAATACCCCACTCAGACACATTATACTGACTCCGAGCCGACCAGTCCTTGTTGTACCCATTAATGCCGAGCGCCAGGCAGGGACCAACAAGTACCATATTTTAACGTCTTTTGGTATGACGCGGTCGGGGATCGAACACGCGACCTTCGGCTCTCCGGGCGGACGCTCTAACCACTACACCACGGAGGCGGTCGTTTCCGGAAAGGATGTGTCTGTACGTGTGTGACATGGCTCAGTATGGTGTTATCACTTATTGTGAATTTTATGTAATATGTTACGGTGTATTGTTTCTTTTGAGCACTAGTTTTAGATTATCACAGCTAGGGTTAAATATAGGTAACATATTACTTTAAAATTAGATCACTATTGAGAACAATATAATTTAAAAAAATCCCGGCTATAGATCACCAGCAACTGAAGGTAGATCAAAGATAAGTTGACGCGGCGTTGTCTTAGTAAGGGTTCATCTGCCTCCACGTACAGACAAGTAACTGGAGGTGTTCGGAAAGGACTTCCGGTTAAGTTGCCAGCATGAGCGGACGCTAATCGTGTCGCTCCTCACCCATCCACTCAATCTTATGCTAAAATGCCTGCCAACAACAGAAAAAAACAAAGTAAACCGGAAAACAGGTCACAGCCAAACTCCCCAGCTACCAATTTGGACGATTTTGTGGTTACGAGGACAAGGGCAACAGCGGGAAGAAACCCACAGTCTGAAAACGAAGGCGCCATTATGGCGGACCCTGACACGCCGACTGAGTCTGATCTTAAAGCATGGATAACACAAGCACTGCAAAGCCAAACAAGCGGGATAATCGAGAAGATGAACACAATAAATATTGACATTCAAGAGTTACAAAAGAAAACCGAAGAAATACTACAAACAGTTGAGTTTAATGCTTGTAAAATTAAGAGCAATGCAGAAGAAATATGGAAAAATAAAGACACAATTCTTGAAATGCAGCGAGAATTTGAGTCGAAGCTACTACTGCAAGAACTGTATTCGCGCAAGAACAATCTCCTTGTCTACGGGGTGGCGGACGGGTTGGACCCCGAGAAGGCCGTACGGGAGGTTTTCGCATCACTCAGTGTGGAAGGAGCCGACAACATGCTACTGGTAAATGTGCATCGTCTACCGAGGAAGAGCACAGACCCCACGAACTTTCGGGCGAATATGCCGAAACTTATTATTGTCAAATTTGTACTAGCTGCCAACAGACAAAAAGTGTACCTGGCGTCTCTGAAGAACAACAAGGTACTGAGAGAGAAGAAAATAAGTGTTCGAACGGACCTTCCAGTCCCACTCAAAAAGCAACGCGGACGACTGGCCAACAAAGCGTTTGAACTAAGAAGGACCACAAGCTACAAACCCGAATTATGGAGCGGGGAGTCGATCTAACTCTCCAATACAGGAAGAATTCACAGGACGACTGGAAAAATATATCGTTGGAGGACACACTCAAACTGTGACTGCGATTTGCGATAACGTGTGACTAATAAGGACTAACATTTTTACTTTCAGTTAATATTACATAAACACGCGAAGAGCGTCACGGACTCAGTTTGTGTTGGGGGAAAATCGCCAGTGTCTGTTCAAAAAGCGAACTTGATTCATGGATTAGATTATTCATGGAATGGAATTCCTCTTTCATGAACTGGAATATGAATTGTTCATGGATTTTTCAGGTAAATACTAAATATGACATTTAAATAGTATACCATACGTTAAATACTACAGTAAACTCAGACGTTCTTCTAAAATTAATGTGTCTACAGCACCTATTATTACTAGACATGACATATAAATGTCTTGATATCTAACAAAGTATGAACTAAAATGTTATCTCATGTTTGATTAGTAACTTACCTAATAGCATTCAGAAATCATCCATAAAATGAGATATAGCTGTGAAAATTACAAGCAGCAACTCGTGTTTTATGTCTGTGGCAGTCACATATATTTGTGTTACTGTCAAATAAACCATACACTGTACACCACTGTAATTAGTATTAGTATTAATAGTGACATTAGTATTTGCATTAGTATTAGTACTAGTTATTAGTATATAGTGAATATAGTATTGGTATTAGCATTAGTATTAGTTATTAGTTTTAGTTATTAGTTAGTAGCTATTGATATTAGTTAGCATTACGAGTGTGAAGGATTTTAATTAAGAGGTGATACTACACCTTAAATAGTTTAACTTGGATATGCTTGGGTCAGTCACTTACCTATCACTTCCTTTTGTTTAAACCAGGGCAAATGTTCTGGTTGAGTGGCTGACCCTATTGTTCTTAGCTTGCATGCTTTTTAACCCTCACTTGCACCTTAGTCACTGGACAGAGAAGTCACCAACAGACTGCAGCAAGTTTACTAATTTCAGTTACTTCACTACTGTCAAGGTATGTTTCTTTAATTAAAATACATGAACGTATATGTGTATATCTTTTCATAAATAAGGTTATATAAACATTATGTTATGTATGCTAAATAAGGTAATTTGTACATTTGCGAGAGGCTTAGTAAATGGCAAAATCTCCTGGATAGGCAGGTATTTGAATGAGTATTTTGATTTATAAGTTTATGAAGCTTTTATCATGTATGTGTTGTGTATGTATGTGTATATATAATAATATTAGGATGTTTGGTATTTTACTGTGTGCTATGCCAGATCTGTAAATATGTGTTTACAGTAATTCTGATTTGATGATAATATTTACGTGTGTATGGATGTTGTGTAGGGAAGTTAGTTTTGAATTATTTCCACATTTGTAGGTATTTTCGGTGCCACTGTAGCCGTGACCATGTAGTTGTGGAAAACCGTAGTGTGACCTACACCTAGAGGCCATACTTCTGGTATGTTTGTATATTTTCATCACGTAAATATATACCATTATCTATTGATGACGTTTTACACACAGTAAGATGTGTGTATATTTCATATATTCTATATTTACTACTACATATATGGACAACTGTAATTCAGGTTGCTGTATCTTACTTGTCAGCATTGTGTAGTCAGATGCTTGACTGTGTTTCAAGGCCACTAATATAACACAATGCAGTAATTCTATATTTACCGTCTTTATTTAATGATGCATATGATGTACGTGTTACGGTGTTGTCCATACTTTTGTTTGCAAGCCAGATGAATTATGCTTGGATTATGTTTATTATCCTCATCATTGTTGTTGTGTATTTCAGGGTGTAAAACAATGAACTAAACCCAGTCGTCGAATAAATCGAATCACACCCGTAGCCGTGTTGTCACCTTTATCAAGATGCACACTTAGAGCTGCTACATGTCTATTGATGTCATAATACTTAGTTTCTGTAATATGCAAGGTAATAAGCATACGACGGAACGTCGATCATTCTTTGCGTTGAGACTAACTACCAGAGCAATTTCCTTTTCCACTATATATAGATGTATGTTGTGCAGAGATGGTTATCTTCATTACAAAGTGTCACTCCTCTACTCATTTGTGACTGATACAAATCATTCCGCAAAATCAGATATAGCTATAAAAACTATAAACAACACCATGTGCTTTTCTATTTATAGATTCGCACTTCCGGTGTATACGCGGATGTAAAGTCTAAAACCGTGAACGTAACACTATCCTTTCACTAGAGATGAACTACTTGAGTAACTTAGTTCTCTATTACATGCTGACAGCATATTATATAATAATGGAAATTTTCATTATGAAACGTTGTTTGTTCAGGCCTAGTGTACATTTCTATTTTTTGACACTGCAAGGAGTGTATGTATTTTCGCGCAGTGAGAAGTTTATAACAGAATGTTTTGACGTGTGCATATGTGGATGAAGTTCAGAAACCATCTGATTTATACTAATATTCACTATGTACTATGTAATTTTCTATTTACGCATTCATACTTCCGTAGTATACGCGGATGTATAGTTTACAACCGTGAACGGAACATTATCTTCTTACTAGAGATGAACCACTTGAGTAACTTAGTTCCCCAATACATGCTGACAGCATATTATATAATAATGGATATTTTCATTATGAAACGTTGTTCGCTCAGGCAGAGTGTACATTTTTATTTTTTGACACTGCAAGGAGTGTGTATACATTTGCGCAGTAGGATCTTATAACAGGATGTTTTGATGTGTGAATATGTGGATGTACCATACTTCCACTGCTTTACAGCTATGATCTCTACAGAATTCTGATCTTTTAACGAGACTGACATTACAGGATGTACTGCATTTACTGTATTCTTCCAGTGGAATATTACTAGTGATTTGAACACTTAATTGATGGTAACTCACTGTTTTAGTTGTGTATCAGCTTCGATAATACAATATCTGATATAATAGAGTTACGCTAAATATACCCACCTAGTTGCATTATAACTAACTACTCCATGTCAATCCTCTTAAAAAGTAAAGACTGTACCAAAGAAACCCCAAATTTTCTTAGTTTTCAGAAGCTGGAAGCACCTTTTATACCCACAATTTTGAAACGTTTTAAATGTTGTTATCATATACAGAATAACGAAAATTCCACAAAGCATGTTACTGACATATACACTTTCACAAATCCCATTCTATACCATTGTTACGACTACAAACCATTTGAATTAGAGATACTCCACATCTTTGACAATGGCTGAAAAGGAAAAAAATAAGATTGTCTTTAAACTGTAGGGGCTTAAACAATTCGTTTAAAAGAAACAAGGTGTTCCGCTTTTTACGGAAAAAAAGCCCACATATATTGCTTACAAGATGTACACTTTACTAAAGAACAAGAACAAATCATTAAACAACAATGGGGCTACAATCAATGCTACATGACATCTTTTAAAAGTACTGCTAGAGGAACAGCTGTTTTATTTAATAATAACTTTGAATTCAAAGTTGAAGATGTGGTTGCCGGTAGTGAGTCAGGAAATTATGTAATATTAAAAGTAAATATATGTGAAATAGTCTACACAATAGCAAGCATATATGGCCCAAACCAAGATACGCCAGAAGTTTATGATACAATTAAAGATCATGTGGAACGCCTAGGAGGAACACAAACTATTTTATGCGGAGACTGGAATTTAGTACAAGACCCTAGAAAAGATACTTTCAACTATAAAAATATTAACAACCCAAAGGCCAGAGAAAAAATTATAGATCTGATATTTGTTTTAGATTTAAAAGATCCATGGAGAGAAACAAACCCCTTCGAGAAAAGATTTACCTGGCGTCAACCTACTCCAATTAAACAAGCTCGACTAGATTATTTCCTGATCTCTCATAGTCTTTTACAGAATGTTATCAAGTGTGACAAAAGTCCAAGCATAGATTCAGATCATTCACTTATTTCTATGACATTAGCTCTATCTGAAACACAAAGAGGAAAAGGTTTTGGGAAATTCAACAATTCTTTATTACAAGATCCAAAGTATGTACAATTAGTCAAGGAAACTATTAAAAGCACGTTGACCAAATATAACACAAAAACAGAAGACCAAATTCCAAAATACCAAATTAATGATCAACTTCTATGGGAAATGATTCTTATGGAAATCAGAGGATTAACAATTTTCTATACATCAACAAAGAGGAAAAAGATAAGAGCAGAATCAATGAACTAGAAACATTATTGCACGATTTAGAGATAGAACTTGATAACAATGACTGTTTACAGGCCAAAGAAGAAATTTTAAAAAGAATAAATGATACAAAAACTGAACTTAATGAATTTGAAACAAATAAAACAAAGGGAGCATTTATTAGATCAAAAGCAAAATGGACAGAACAGGGAGAAAAACCAAGTAGATACTTTTTAAACTTGGAATTTAGAAATCTTCTAAACAAGTCTATATCAGAAATAAAAAAACCCGACGGATCAACCATTAAAGATCAAGAAGAAATACTAATAGAAACCCAAAGCTTTTATAAAAAAACTATATAAAAATAACTGCACACAAATTAATCTTGATTCTTTGTTAAACAAACACAATATACAAAAACTAAATGAAGACAGTGCCGCAACTTTAGACGGAGAACTAACATATGAGGAAACCCTAAAAGCATTGAAAATAAATGAAAAATGAAAAAACTCCCGGACCAGACGGTTTTACAACAGAATTTCTAAAATTCTTCTGGATAGACTTGAACAAATTCTTGATAAACTCGTTAAATTATGCATATCAAAACGAAAATCTATCAGTTACCCAGAAACAAGGATTAATTACATGCTTACCAAAAGAAAACAAACCAAAACTATTTTTAAAAAATTGGCGGCCAATTTCTCTTCTTAACACATCATATAAAATTGCATCAGCGGTTATAGCTAATAGAATGAAGAAAGTATTACAACTAATAATAAATGATGATCAAAAAGGCTTTGTACCAGGAAGACATATCGGTGAGGTCACAAGGCTGATATACGATCTAATGGAGTACACATAATCTTACCAAATACCAGGACTATTAGTTCTAATAGATTTTGAAAAGGCTTTTGATTCAGTTGACAGAAACTGTATACTAAATGTGTTAAGATTCTTTAATTTTGGACCTAGTTTTCAGAAGTGGATCAGAACTTTTTTTAAAGATATGCAATCAAGTGTACTTGTAAATGGATTTGCTAACACCTTTTTTCCTATAGCCAGAGGTTGTCGCCAAGGAGATCCGGTATCGCCATATATTTTTGTTTTATGCGCAGAAATTTTAGCTATACTTATCAGAAATAATAAAAATATAAAAGGTATTAAAAGGGAAGTATTGAATATGTTCTTGCACAATTTGCTGACGATACCTCTTTATCTTTAGACGGCACTGAGAGTAGTCTATATGCCTTGTTGAACATTTTATCCTTTTTGCAAGGTTTTCTGGCTTGAAAGTTAATGCTGACAAGACAAGACTGATCTGGATAGGTTCAAAGAAAGATGTAGATATAAACTCTGTAAAGACTGGAACTTAGATTGGACTCAAAGTGACTTCAAGGTACTGGGTATTATGTTTGATGTAGACCTTGACAAAATGGTGAAACTGAACTACGATAATAAGTTCAAAAAGATAGAAGGAAATGAAATTATGGTCAATAAGAACACTTACTCCAATCGGTAGAAATGTTGTTTTGAAATCACTACTGCTTGCAAAATTAAACCATTTATTTTCCTCAATTCCATCACCCCCAGATGAAATAATAAATCAATTTCAACAAGCCTGCTTCAAATTTGTATGGAAAAACAAACCGGACAAAATTAAAAGAGACATTTTAGCTATGCCACCTGATTACGGAGGAATTAGTGTCCCACTCATTAAGAATAATATTTATGCACATAAAATAGCATGGATAAAAAAATTATATTCCAGTAACTGCAAATGGAAAGCATTAGTGGATAACTGTATACCTAACTACGGAAGACTTTGGTTAGCTGATCTTGAATATTTGGAAAAACATATAAAACCATACATAAGAAATCCATTTTGGAGAGATGTAATCTCTGCATGGGGATCATATTTACAAAAGCATTATAAGACAATAAACCCAAATGACATGTTAAACCAATGTATCTAATGAACCCAACCACGGGGGAATTCTATACTTATGAAGAACTACAAAAAATATATCAAGTTAAAGCAAATATCTTAAGATACCACAGTATTAAATCTTCCATAATTGCCTGCCTAAAGAGAAGACAAATCACTCTACCTAAAACACTCCCATTCTCACCAATACTACCATTTAATATATCCAAACTAAATCTAAAGGTCAAAGGCACCAAAACCTTCTACTTTTCTTTACTGGACTCCAATTACAATAAGTCATATGCACATACAAAGTGGGAAAGAGTCTTTGAAACACAGTATGATAACACAATGCTACGAAACATATATATGATGGCAAAACGATCCACAAAATGTAGCAATTTGAAATGGTTACAGATGAAGATATTGTATGATATTATACCCACAAATATTTTCTTAAATAGGATCGGTCTAAAGGACACACCTTTATGTACATTCTGTTCAAAGGAACTAGAGACGATTGTCCATCTACTCTGTAATTGTTGTCATGTTAAAAAGATTTGGGAGAGTTTGACCAGATGGCTAATGACTGTAACTGAAGGTAACATTGACCTTACACCAGAAAACATCTTACTTGGATTTAAAGGGAAAAAACAATCATTCTTTAAATGCAATATGTCTTGTTGTAAATAGGTAATATATACACAAAAAATAAAAGAACAAGTTTCAAGTTTCAAGCATGTAGTAGGCGAA